GGTCCTGCTTTTTCCCCTTGTTTTGTTGTTGGATTTGAGCTGTGCATCCCTCCTGGAGCTCAGCAAAAGTGGGAGCTCATCCCTGCTCCAGGGATCCTGCCAGGCTCCCTCTGTCCTGCAGGGCATGTAGGGCTGTAGGAGTGTAGGAAGAGGCTCAGGGAGATGATTATTTTTAGGGAGTGGAATAAGTCTGAGGTCAGCTGGGTCCATCAGGCCTGAAAGCACCAGCAGGAGCAGCTGAGGCAGAGAGGGCTGAAATCCTCCAGGCACAGGGGGTCAGTGTGATCTGATGGTGCTGGAAAAACACTTTACAAGGCACCAGCAAAGGCTTAGGCCACACCAGGCACGGGGGAAACACGTCAGCTCAGAGAGGGGAAACTGAGGCACAGGGCTGCCAGGAAGAGAAGCCCGTGCTGAGCTGCTGGGGTTGAGCAATTGGGAGATTTGCACTTTTATTGGGGTGATGGGAGTGGTTTGCAGCCTCTCAGCAGAGCTGTGCTGGAACCCCAGGGTCAGCATGGCTGGGCTCTGTCTGGGCAGCTCTCCTCCCACCTCCTGGTGCTCTCAAGACCCAAAAAAGGAAGAATTTGCCCCTTTCCTGCTGCTCGGAAGGGGATGTGGTGACGGAGGCAAAGGTGGCAGCGCCAGGGCGTAAACAGGAAACAGAACTCCTCAGCACGGGAGGATGAACCTGTGTTTGGGAGCTCCTCCATCCCCACATGGCTTTTTTTTTATTGGGCTGCAGTTCACCCTCATCTTCCCTTCAGGAGAACTGAGGCTTTGGCTTCACCCCTTTGCACAGCCACAATGCTCCGGAGAGAAGCTCAGTGTGACTGTGCTGCTGTAGGAGGGTTTTTTTTTCAGACACTTTGGTTATTTTTGGCATCATTTTTGCATGGGCCAATTGTCATGTCCTCTAACCCTCCCTCTGCCTCAGCAGGGACATCCCCAGAGCTTTTCATCCACTGCAGAGCACACCCAGGAGTGAGATGCTTGTTCCTGCCCCTCCTGTATCCCCCAAATCTGAGTCCCACCACGCACACATACACCCCAAAGCCACCAAGCTGCCTGCAAAATCCCCTCCTGCTATTGCTGTGGGGGGATAAATGGGATTCTTGCTGGGTCATTGAGGGGGGATAAATGGGATTCTTGCTGGGTTTATTCCCTGTGGGAGGAGGGATGGATGCAGGAGAGGCAGTTGCTGGCTGCAGGAGGAGGTTGGTGCTGGGTTTTCCCGGGATGCTCGTGTGGCTCCTCAGGAAACCCAAAGCTTTGTCAGCTCTTCCGCTGTGCCGAGCGATTTTTTTCGGTGGGGAGTTTCTCTTCTGCTTTTTCTCAGGCAGAGCCCCAGGGCTGGCCTTGCTTCCTGCCCTTCCCCTCCTGCTCCAGCTCCAGCTTGGCCTTTCCAGCCTCATCTGTGGTTTGAGACATGGCACAGAAGGTTTTTTGCTGGGATCTATCCTGGTGGGCAGGGCAGGACACCAGGATTGCTGCTGTGCAGAGGATTTAGAGGCAGGTTCATCCTCTGACACAGGTTTTACCCCATGGCCTTGGTTGAGTCATTTTTCCATCTGGATTTTGTTGTGGAGTTGGGTGTTTTCCTTGCAGGAAAAGGGGTTTGTTTCCCAGGGGATCAGGAGGAAGCACATGGCGATGTGGGAGGTGGAGGAAAAATAGCAGTTTGCAGAGTAAATGCTTTTTTCTCACCTCAGTTTCTCTGCTGGGATAAGGGAAGGGAGGGGAGAGACCCTGGAAAAATGAAATCCTGCCTGGAGGAGAGTTTGCACAAACATCCAAGAAAAAGCAAAGCCCAAGAAGCCTTTTTTGCATCATTCAAAGCTGCCCCAATGGTGCATTTCAAGGTCCCTCTGGTGCCTGATTTCCAAGGGCTTCACTCCAAATCCCATTTTAATTCCACCTTGTAGCATCCAAAAATCACACTGGAGATCCAAACTGGGCCAGTTCCAAGATGGGATTTTAGGGGGACTTCCCAAGTGTTTGTACAGGAGAATGGAGATCTTTTGGCACAAAAATCCAACTGGCATCTCTGGCTGCTTGGAAAATCACCTCTTCTGCTGCCACTGGGTTGGGATAGCACGAGGAAGCAGCAGCTGGACCCAACCTTGTGTGTCCAAAGCTCTGAAGAATAAAATAGCAGTAAAATAGGTGGAGAAAAGGAACATTGATAACCCTCCCACCTCCAGCTCTGGCGTCACTGGGATCATCCATGGATGCTCCAAATGCAAATTCAGCGTAAGCCAATCTCCCCTGGGATTAAATTTTCAGTGAGTTTAAGGCACCTCTGCCCTTATCTGATCTCCCTCCCTTCCCACTGCCTCTCCTGGAGAAGCCACAGCAAACTCTACTCACGTCTGTGTCCTGTGCTGCGTTTTCCAGGAGCAATTCCCATCCCAGGGGAGTTTCTTTTCTCCCTGTTCTCCATGAGAGTGTGCCAGGGATGTGGGAATGGGGAGGCTCATCCCAGGCTTTTCTCCCCTCCCTCTGTGCAGCTCAGCTCCCATGACAGCGGAGAGGGAGGATGGATTACGGCGGTGGAGAGGACCTGGTTCCCTGTGGAAAAGACAAATTCATCTCCAAGTAAGATGCTCTGGAGGGCTGGAACTCAGGAATGCAGGAGCTGGGGAGGATGTCTGCAATATTCCAGGGGGGATATGTGCATTGTGTGATAGATAAGACATAATATAATGTCTGATAGATGATGTGATCTGAAATATGTGATGTGTAGTGATACTATAAAACCAATATGTGATGTGTTATCCTTAGTATATAATATTCCTTGGGGTTGGAAGGATAGGAGTGTCCCTGGGTTTGACTCAATCCACTTGGATGTGGAAAAAAAAATCCGTTCTGGAACAAACCCAGAGGATTCTTAATGGGATGCTGAAATTTCCCTTAGGAATGTGGCCAAATGCTCTCTGAACTTCCCCAAAAAAAGAGGAATTTTTTTGGCTGACAAGATCCTCATTAACTGCTCTTTTGTTCTTTGCCAAAGAAGGAAAATGATCCCCAGGTTTTAAGGAAGATTTTGAAAGAGATAAAGCAAATATGTGATGTTTCCCTCTCCCTTTTTTCTTTCCCATGACCCCAAATCCCTGTGATTTGTGCTTGTTTGTCCCAGGCTGGTGCTGCTGAGCATCCTCAGCCCCCACAGCATCAGGAACCAGTGCCAGGGGCAACACTGTCCCTGGATTCAGGGCTGGGCCATGCCAGCCTGGGATGGTTTATCTTCAGTTGCTATTGATCTTTATTTTCAGTCATTATTTTTAAGTCCATATGTATCTTTATAGCTTTATTTCATCTATTTTTTATCTTCATTTTGATAGTTGCAGTTTTATTTTGATCATTACTTTGCCTCTGGAATAAGGCTCAGATTTTTATTCCGAGATCAGAATCTGGAGCCAACGTGACCAACTCTCCTGTGATCCCTTGTGACTCCCCCATGACCTCAGGCCTTGGGTGCCCTGAAAACTGCTTTGGTTTTCAGCCCTCTGACAGCTCCTCCGAGGCCTGTTGGGTTTTCTTGGGTCTTTCTGCAAGGTTTATGTAGGACACACTTTCAGGGAGATTCTCCCCCTACCTGTGGGTGCAAAGAGCATCCTCACAGCAGATATCCCCAACGAGGGAAATCCAGAGGTGCCAAAAGACCCAAACTTGCCTCAAATAAAGCTCTTTTGGCTCCTGCAGAGCATAGCAACCTCCCTAACCAGGGGAGCAATCCCAGATCCCCCAAATTCCCCTTAGGCAGCTCAGGGGGCATCAAGTGTTACCTGCAGTTTTCTTCCCTTGTTCTTCCAAACCTCTTCTCAGTGTCTTTTCCAATTGTTTTCCCCAGAAATGAGCTGCTCTTGCACTTGAAGACCTACAACATCTACTACGAAGGGCAAAATCTGCAGCTGCGGCACCGGGAGGTAAGAACCCCTGGGCAGGCACCAAGCCCAGGGAATTGGGAATGTTTCTGACTTAGGGAATCATGGAATCTTGTTCCACCTCCTGCCCTGGGCAGGGACACCTTCCACCAAACCAGGTTGCTCCAAGCTGCATCCAGCCTGGCCTTGGACCTCAGCTCTAAACTGGAGAGACTGGGTTTGAGGGATGGAACACTCAGCAGATAAGGAATTCACTGGATAGTCTTTAAGGTCCCTTCCAGCCCAAACCATTCCATGATTCCATGTCATGCAGAGCAGTGTCAGGGGCTTTGCTCAAGTCCAGGTAGACGATGTCACTTGCTCTTCCCTGATCCATCGGTGCCATAACCCCATCCTGGGAGGTCATTAATTTTGTCAGGCACAATTTGCCCTAATGAAGCCACATTGGCTGCCACCAATCCTTATTTTCCACGTGCCTTCCCATAGTTTCCAGGAGAATCTGCCCCATGATCCTACCAGGCACAAGGGTGAGACCGCATGGACTCGTGAGGCCCAAAAAACACCTTTTAGCCACTGAATCATAGGAACAGTTTGGCTTGGAAGTTACCTAAAGCTCATCAATTCCAAGCCCACGTTCCTGACTGCTCTTTGGGATGCTGAGTGCCCATCCCTGCTGCAGGAGGAAGGGGAGCTCATCGTGGAGGGGCTGCTGAACATCTCCTGGGGGCTGCGGCGTCCCATCCGCCTCCAGATGCAGGACGACAACCAGCGCATCCGACCACCACCCTCCTCCTCCTCCTGGCACTCTGGCTGCAACCTGGGGGCCCACGGGTGAGCTGGGAAGGGGAGCAGACACAAACACCCCCAAAAACGCCCCCCACCCCCTCCAGCTGTCAGGGTTGGCTGGTTGCACCCCCAGCTGCTCTCAGTGGGTCATTTCGGCCCAAGCCAAGGCTGAACTAAAGGGTTGTGGGTTCACAATGCCAAGTCCCCCCTGGTTTTGGCAATGATGCTCTTTTTGTGCCCCCTCTCTTTGCAGACTCCCCGTTTTTTTTTTGCTCCTCTCCCCTTTGGAAATCTCCCCCTGGTGTAAAACGATGCTGCTTGGGGCCTCAGCATTCCTTCCTGGGAAGAGGGCAGCTGAGATAACACCTTCCAAGTGGTTTTTGGGAGCAGGACAGGATGGGATTTGGGTTTTATATTGCAACTAGCCCGTGCTGTGACCCTACAGGGAGGGTTGTCTGCCAATCCACTGGGAGAACGGGCAGATTTCCAGGCTGGAAGCAGCAGTATGTGGGCTCAGAGAGGAGATTCCCTGGATAATCATTCCCTCTGCAGCTGGATGCTGGCAGGGCACCCCTCACCACCTCTGTCCATGCCAGGTCTGTGCTGAAGCCCAGCACCTTGCCAGACATCCAGGTGACGGATGCGGAGGCTGCGCCGAACGCGGAGGCTCCCGGGAATGGCACAGGTGAGCCAAGCTTGGATCCACTTGGATTTGGCTGAGAAGTTGGGATAAGCTACCTCATGCTCCAGTTTTATTTGAGCAAACCTAAGCCAGCCTTGTTTTACCCTCCTGCATCCCCATCCTGCTCCAGGTTCCCTGGAGCCACTTCCAAAGCTCCTTGATTCGTTTGGTTTAATCCTAGCCTGAAACTCCAGGATCTGAAAGGTCTTTTCCAACCCAAATGATTCCATGATTCCCAAGGGGTTTTGCTTGGGGAAGGAGCTGCAGTGGGATGTGGTGGAAAGGAGCTTGGAAAGAAATAGGGGGATGGAGCAAAGAGCCTCGTGGGATCGTAGGGAAAAGGATGTCTGTGCTTCCCCTTCCCGGAGGCTCCGCGTTTCGGGAAGAAGAATGGGCTCATTGGGAAGTGCCGTTACCATGGGGAAGTCAACATTGCTGCAAAGTGTTTTTCCCCTCCCTGATTTTTTCCTCTGTGGAGGGGGAAGAGCTCGGCCAGGCGCTTCGTTAACCCCTTGTTTGGAGCAGAGGCAGCAAGGAAAGGGACACAAACTGTCCCACTGGGAATTCCCACAGGAAAAATCTGCTGGGTGCATTTTTCTCATCCAATTGGGGCATTTTGCAGCTGTTCTGACTTTTTGGGGGGATCTTTTTTCATGGGGGGAGAGAGAAGAACCAGCTAATCCTTTACGTGCCTGGATGCTGATCCATATCCCAGCTCAGAGAGGAGCTGAGCCCTTGTAAAACTCATTGATCCATGAACCCCTATCCATATTCCTCCAGTTTTTTTCCTTTTTGACCTCCCTACTAACAACACTTTTCCTCCCTTGGCTGAAGCTTCCCTGGGCATTACCCACCCTAGGTCAAACCATTGCAATTCCCCAGTGGCTCTCTCAGCCTCATGACCTTAATCCTCCTCCAGCACCTCAGAAAAAAAAAAAAAAGCCTTTTATTCCATTTTTTCCCTCTAAAATCCAGTAGAAATCAGTGCCTGATGTGCGTGCACAGCTCCTCGTGAGTGCTTAGTCACTGTATGTGCATCTGGAGCAGCGTGTCCCGGAGATTTTTCCTTGCTGTAGACATGCTTTGAATGAAAACACCCAAAGCTGCAGCCTGAGAGCTTCATTAAAAATGGATGAAGAGCTGGTTTATAATAACCTGGATCCAGGCCAGTTTTCCCGCAGAGATCTGAGGCTCTGCCCTCGTTTGCCTGTTCTCATTAAAGGGAAGGAGAAAAGGGAAAGTTAAATTATGGAAAAGCGAGCGAGGATGCTCTATTTCCCGGGAGAAGAGGTTTTATCCAGGTAGCAGCATGGATTTGGGCAGCTAATGCTGAGCTAATAACCTCCTTCAGGGGCTGGAGGAGAATAAACCAGTTGCTGTGGTTTGAATTGGTGGGTTAAGTGTGTCCTGGGAAGGTTGTAGGGCTGAGTTGCTGGGATGGGATTTTTGCACCCATGGGGAACTCCCAGCAGGAAGATTCTGGAATCACTGGATATCCTGAGTGGGAAGGAACTCACAAGGATCATTGATCCAACTCCTGCCCTGCACAGGACACCCCAACAATTCCACCATGTCCCTGAGAACATCGTCCCAACACAACAAGCTCTGGAGTAGGACCCTGAGAAACTGGGGGTTTCTCTCTTGCCCCCAGTTTTGCAGCAGGAAGATGCTGGAATCACTGGATATCCTGAGTGGGAAGGGACTCACAAGGATCATTGATCCAACTCCTGGCCCTGCATGGGACACCATAAAATCACATGATATGATTGGGAGCATTGACCCAACACAACAAGCACTAGAGTAGGACCCTGAGGGTTTCTCTCTTGCCCCCAGTTTTGCAGCAGGAAGATGCTGGAATCACTGGATATCCTGAGTGGGAAGGGACTCACAAGGATCATTGATCCAACTCCTGGCCCTGCATGGGACACCATAAAATCACATGATATGATTGGGAGCATTGACCCAACACAACAAGCACTAGAGTAGGACCCTGAGGGTTTCTCTCTTGCCCCCAGTTTTGCAGCAGGAAGATGCTGGAATCACTGGATATCCTGAGTGGGAAGGGACTCACAAGGATCATTGATCCAACTCCTGCCCTGCACAGGACACCCCAACAATTCCACCATGTCCCTGAGAACATCGTCCCAACACAACAAGCTCTGGAGTAGGACCCTGAGAAACTGGGGGTTTCTCTCTTGCCCCCAGTTTTGCAGCAGGAAGATGCTGGAATCACTGGATATCCTGAGTGGGAAGGGACTCACAAGGATCATTGATCCAACTCCTGCCCTGCACAGGACACCCCAACAATTCCACCATGTCCCTGAGAACATCGTCCCAACACAACAAGCTCTGGAGTAGGACCCTGAGAAACTGGGGGTTTCTCTCTTGCCCCCAGTTTTGCAGCAGGAAGATGCTGGAATCACTGGATATCCTGAGTGGGAAGGGACTCACAAGGATCATTGATCCAACTCCTGCCCTGCACAGGACACCCCAACAATTCCACCATGTCCCTGAGAACATCGTCCCAACACAACAAGCTCTGGAGTAGGACCCTGAGAAACTGGGGGTTTCTCTCTTGCCCCCAGTTTTGCAGCAGGAAGATGCTGGAATCACTGGATATCCTGAGTGGGAAGGGACTCACAAGGATCATTGATCCAACTCCTGACCCTGCACGGGACACCCTAAAATCACACGATGTGCGTGAGAGCATTGGCCCAACACAACAAGCTCTGGAGTAGGACCCTTGGAAGGTTCTCTCATGCCCTCAATCCACATCCCCACCCTCCCACTGGATCTCTTGCAGCTCCCAAGGCTCCCCCAGAGGAGGCTCCTCAGCTGATGCGGACGCGGAGCGACGTGGGCGTGCGTCCCCGCGGCACTTCCCGCACGCCCAGCGAGCAGCGTCGCATCCGCCGGCATCGCTTCTCCATCAACGGCCACTTCTACAACCACAAGGTGAGCCCCAGCTCCCCAACCCCATCCCCATGGATCAGAGTGTGGGGGGAATCCAGGGAGAGCTCTCAACGGACTTTGTGCCCCGTAGACCTCGGTGTTCACACCTGCCTACGGCTCCGTCACCAACGTGCGGATAAACAGCACCATGACCACCCCTCAGGTCCTCAAACTGCTGCTCAACAAGTTCAAGGTGTGTTTATTATCCCTCCTGAACGTTCCTGGATTGTTCTGCATGAGATTTTTAGACTTATCATTATAATTGACTAGATTATCTATTTGACCTTTATATGTTTACTAGTGGTTTGTGTCTCCATCCAGATCGAGAACTCGGCGGAGGAGTTCGCGCTCTACGTCGTCCACACGAGTGGAGGTGAGTGCCCAATCCCTGGATCCACTGAAGCATTGGCTGCTCCCACTGGGCCAGGCCCAACTGGGGTTTTGGTGTTGCAGAGAAGCAGAAGTTGAGAGCCAGTGACTACCCCCTGATCGCCCGAGTCCTGCAGGGCCCCTGCGAACAGGTCTCCAAGGTCTTCCTCATGGAGAAGGACCAGGTGGAAGAAGTCACCTACGACGTGAGTTTGCCAACATGGGATGTTCATCACTCTTGGATAGGCTTGGAAAAACTGGGGGGAGTCATAGAATCATGGAATGGTTTGGGTTGAAAGGACCTTAAAGATCATCCAGTCCCAACCTGCCACAGGCAGGGACACCTTCCACCAGCTCAGGTTGCTCCAAGCCCCATCCAACCTGACCTGGAACACTCCCAGGGATGGAACAGCCACAGCTTCTCTGGACAACCTGTGCCCACCCTCAGAGGGAATATTTTCTTCCCAATGAACAGAAGTTTCCATGTATTAGAGCTGCAGGAGTTGCTTTGCTCTTGCATCTCCCCATGGAAACTTCCCATCCTATAGGAAAATCCTTGCCCTGTGCTCAAAGAGCAGCTCCAACCCAGAGCCAACCCCCCCGGGCCTGTTGTGCCATCCCAATCCCATCACGGACCAGCGATTCCAGCACAGCCTTTGGCAGAATTGGTATTTTTCCAGCCGGGAAAGCTCCACTGTGCCATCTGCTGGATTCCCAAGGCTGCTCTGCTCCCGAATCCCAACTCAAACGAGTCCCTGGTGGGGATATTTGGGCTTGAAGAGCTGTCTGAGACACTGGGCATGCACAAGGCTCTGCGTGTGACAGAGCCAAGTCTTGCAGAGGGTGGATAAGTTAAGATAAATACATAAATAAAGGTGTTTTTTTTTTTTTCCCAGGGCATCACTTGTTTGCACAAACATCCATTTTTGTTAAGGCTGTTGCAAAAACTGGGGAGTCCTTGATTTCCTCGGTTAAACCCAGGGAGGTGTTGCTGCCATCACATCCTCTTTATCATCTCTCTTGCTGTTCCTCTCCCACCCAGGTCGCTCAGTACATCAAGTTTGAGATGCCCATCCTCAGGAGCTTCATCCAGAAGCTGGAGGAAGAGGAGGACCGTGAAGTGAAGAAGTTGATGCGCAAGTATGATGGGCAGAGGATGCTGAGGGGGATGCAGGGAGGGAAGGATGTTGCTAGTTTGGTCCCAAAATTCATTGGCATAGCACTCTATCCCTAATGCATGCATGAACCACTGGGGTTTGCATTATTCCAGGGTTTTTCTTGGCCAGCTTGATGCTGAAAAATCCTCTTGTGCCTCTCCAGGTACTCCATCCTTCGGCTGATGATCGAGCAGAGGCTGGAGGAGATCTCAGAAGGTCCAACGGCGATGTGAAACTCATCACCAGTGCCCTGGCACGAAGAGCCATGTGCCTGTAGGATGTACTGTACCAAATCCCAAATCCCTGTCATTCCCAGAACGCTCCCAGTGTCCATCTGGATTGCTCCAGCCTTGAGCCAACCCATCCTCATGCACATCACCTGCACAGCATCCTCCGAGGTTTCTCCATGGGATTTTTCCCAGCAAGGCTCTGGCTGGTGGCAGCTTCAGCCAAAACCTCAAGTCTCTGGGAATAACAGGGATAAACAACAAAACCAGAGGAAATCCATGAGCAGCACAAAGCTGAGGATGGGGCCAAGTGAGGGCTACAAGCATTCCAGAGAAGAAATTTGGGGCTCAATTTGGAGACACCCACACGTGGCTCCCATGGAGGATCTGCTGCTTGATGACAAGAGAGCACAAAGAATTCCTCTTTAACTTTTTTTTTTTTTTTTTTTTTAGGGAAAAAAAAGCACATTCCTATTGCAATAATTCGCAGGTGACAGGAAGTTTGTGTCAATCCAAAGGGTCTCTGGGAACTGTGGGTTGAGCCCTGCCCTGGGCACTGATCTTTGGATTTATGGCACAAGTGTGAATGGCATTTTTCCAGCACCTTCCCTTAACCTGCCTCTGGTCGCATATTCCCTCCCTTTCCCTCTCTAATTTGCACTAATATTAGAGATTTTTGAAGACAACCATGATGTCAAAGCTCTCTGGTAGCTGTAACATGCCAAATAGCACTCGCAGGGGTCGCTGAGGGCGTCGAGCATCCCGAGGGATGCTGGATGGGATGTGGTGGGAAGGCAGGAGGAGGGGGAGGCAGGAATAAAGAGGATTTTGTTTTCCAAATCCATTTCCCAGAGGTGCCAGCACATCATCCTGGTGAAACCAGGACCAAACTGGCTCAATTACCACCACCACCTGGACAAACCTCCTCCCTCTGTTACCACCACCTGGACAAACCTCCTCCCTCCCATGCTAAACCAGCAATACCAATTGTATACCTCGACGTGAACTAAAACTCTTGACTTTCTCCCTCCCTTGGAGTTTTTGCAATGTATCTTTGTAATATTTTGGAATTTTAATGGTACCTTTTCCACCTTCAACATGTGTTTGGGAAAGTGTTGTACAGCGAGAGGAGCTTTGTATGGATTTGCAGGATGATTGTGGCATTGCTGTGTGGGTTACCAAGAGAACCAAATATGTAGCAACTTAACACAGAATGAAAACCACTGTGTGAGAGCCTGGTTTGTCCAAAGGGAATCACTTTGTGGATAGAAATTCCAGGGAAATGGGCTCTGTGGGGGCTAGGAGCAATGAGGAAGGAGCAAAACCTGCCTGAATCCCAGTGGGGAAGTCTCCCAAGGAAAAATGCTCCTGCCTTGCAGAGCTGGAGACTGACAGCTAAACTGGTGAAGGATTTTGGGGGAGTATTGGGCTTTTTTAGGATTTCTCCAGCCCTTAGGGATGATTTATCCCCAGGCACCATAGTTGGCAGGCTCCATCCTCTGGATATGTCTCTTCCAGCAGGTAAAACTCCTGTTATATTCATTTTCTTTGGCTTCCTCAAGGCTGATCTGCATCCCACAGGTTATCCCACAGGTTATCCCACAGGTTATCCCGCAGGTTCTCCCCAGCCACGCTTTGCTGGCTCCCCAGCCTGGTGTTATCCAGCCCATTGCATCCCGATTGTCCCTCCCCGAACAGGAGGGGGATAGGAGTGACGTTGGAGCTGCTTATTTGTTGGGAAAAGTCGGGTGTGAGTCGAGCCCAGAGGGCACAGACGGGAAGAGCCATCAGCGGTGCGGCACAGGGTGCACAGGTAAGGGCAGAATCCTGGGCAGGGAGCCTAGGGCTGGAAAAGGGAAGAATTGGGCAGAGAGCAAGGGTAAAAGTGAAGGAGTTTGGCACACACATGGGCTGGAGGTTGGGATGGGGAGAGGAGCCCAGGGAAGCTCCAGCGCTGGGATTTTCCCTAAGTGGTGTTCCATAAGTTTGGGTGATGTAAGGGAAATAAAGGGAGGGGGAAAATAGGAAGGAAAAAAAAAAATTCTTGTGTTAAATTTTTGGAGGTTTGCTGCCTGGGTTGGTGGTGTTTCCAGCAGTGGCAAACCTCTGGAAAAACTCAGGAAGGGGAACATGCACTTCTCCAGCTTTTCCTTATAATCAACCCCATTGACTGGAGGAGCAGGGCAGTGAAATGAGGCAAATTAAATTAATCGAGCCTGGGTTTAATTTTTGAAACGTTGGGTTTGGAAGGAATGGGTCAGGCCTGGCACCTTCCAGCAGGGAGGGAATTGCTGATGCAGCGATGCTGGGCCGGGGCAAGCGGCCAGGGGACTCTGCTCTTTCAAAAGCCCTTTTGTCCACACAGCTCCTGCTATTTTTGGGATGATTTTGGGGCTGCGATGGCTCAGCAGCTTCGGCACAATGAGTCTGTTTGCTCAGCCCCGGGGTGCAGGGTGGGGGCAATCCCATCCTGATGCTCCAGAGCTTTGCAGTGGGGTGGGAAAATGAAGGTGAAAGTTGGGAAATTGGGAGCATTTCATAGAATCATAGAGTTTTAGGGGTTGGAATGGAGCTTAGGGATCATTTAGTCAAAATCCCCTGCCCTGGGCAGGGAAAACTCCCACCAGAGCAGGTTGAGCAAGGTTTCATCCAACCTGGAATGAACAGTCATAGGGTTGGGGCATCCAACACCTCCCTGGGCAACCTGTGCCAGTGTCTCACCACCCTCACAGGGAAAACTTCTGCCTAATATCTAGCCTAAATTTCCCCTCCTTCAATTTGAACCTGTTACACCATACCCTGTCCCTTGGATATTAGGAAGAGATTTTTTACAGAGAGAGTGCTCAGGCATTGGAATGAGCTGCCCAGGGAGGTGGTGGATTCACCATCCCTGGAGGGTTTCAAGGTGAGACTGGGTGTGGCACTTGGTCTAGTGACCACAGTAGGGTTGGGACTTTATGATCTTGGAGCTCTTTTCCAACCCAGTTGATTCTATACAATGATCAGCACTAATCAAACAACAGAGTTTCTTTCTCCCCAGGGTGTTTGCTTGTCTATAATCTGACCTGGATATTCTGTCACCATCTGTGACATCCAAAACACTTTTGTGGCACGAATACTCCAAAGAGTTTGACATGGTAACAGCAAAAGAAGCTGGAACCAAAAGCCTCTGGGGGAGTTTGCTTTGAGCTTGGTTGGGTTAAGGAGTCAGTAGGTTGCTCAGAGAAATGAGAAGTCGAATATAATGACGTCAACTCCGCTGAGAGTAACCGCTAGGGTTGGGTTTGACGCTCTTGGAGTTCTCTTCCAACTCGGTTGATTCTACAGCTCGCTGTGCGCGTTCCACAGGTGGTGCAGGATGAGACCCCGCGACGGCTGGTGCTG